TTTTTTTTTGAGAGAGTAGAAGGGAGGGAGGAAGAGAGAGAGAGCAAGAGAGAAAAACATCGATGTGAGAGAGACACATCGATTGGTTGTCTCCCACACGTGCCTCAATCTCGGCTGGGAATTGAACTTGCAGCCCAGGTATGTGCCCTTGTTGGAATCGAACCCATGGCCCTTTGGCGCACAGGCCGACACTCTAACCACTGAGCCACACTGGCCAGGGAGGGGGAAATTATTTTTTAAAAGCTGTTTCATTTATGATTTTCTTTGAGAGAGCAGTGAAACTTTAAATTTTAAAATTAACAAAAAAGAACAAAGGTTATGAGCTACTCCCAACTAGCAGCATGGGGAAAAACACACTGGTGAGTAGATTATTAACAGGAATATTCTCTGTTATGTGAGTCTGCAAACAGTCCCAGCTAAGTCCATTTAAAGTCCCAGTGAGGTTTCACACTCCCTGATAAAATCCTGCCAGCATTTCTGGGTGACGACGGTACGTTGGTGTCATAAAGCATCACCCAGGACATGACTTTTCATTGGACTGAGAAAGCAAATCACACAGGCGAATCTGTTGTATCTGTGGGAGGCTCTTTCAAGTGGAGAGAGAGAGAAAGAGAGGGACAGGGTGAGGGAGGAAGGGAGAGAAGAGAGACATCTAAGCAGCCTTCAGGGTTTGTGAGGTTCCTCCTGTACTGTGATTTATACACCAAATAGATAGGGGCAGCCAGTGAAGTTAGTGGACGTGATCAGATAAATATATTCAAACTCCATTCATGCTAAATATGAATAAACAAATACAAAGCCAGGCCTTCTTGGACTCTCTGTGCCCTGTCACTTTTCTCTCTGCTCCTAGTAGCCCAGTTAAGTGTAACTCTGGCTCAGCTGGTCCCTTTCTGTCTTCTTGCCCACCTACTGCAATTTGGCCTCTGACACCATCATTCCACTGGAAGCGCTTTATCTATAGTCACCAACAACTTTCTAGATGCCAAATCACTGACGGCCACATTTATTTTTGTAATACTTTATGCCTCACTCCCCTTAAAACTATCAGTCTCACTCTTCTTCCTGACACCTCTCACATGTCACGCAATTCTTGCCTTCCAGAATACTCTTCCCACTCTCCTTCTTGACTATGCTACTTGCTATCTCTTCTCGGAAGTTTTCTGGTTCTCTGGTTATGTCCTCAGCCCTGTTTTCACCTTACTTGTCACGATTCCTTTGCTGGATTCCACTTAATTTCACTGCATATCAATTATTTCCAGATTTGTCTTTCAATTTGGGCCACTCTGTGGTCTCTAGCATTAAATTTCTAAGTGCCCATTAGAACCCTCAACAAGGATATCTCAAGCTCAAAATTCCTAAAACGGGGTAACTCATCTTTTGTTCAGAATCTGTTCTACTTCTTATAATTCTGATTTCAGTTATCAGTACCAGTTATCCGCCGCCACATCATGGCAGTGCCATCTGAGAGTCAACCTAGATTCCTCCTTCCTTCCCTGCCCTCATTTACTCACACGTTGGTCCTTTCCAAACTCATTACTACTATAAGAGGCTAGACCCTCAATATTTCCTAAATGACTTTTTGAAGAGTCCCCAGTCCAGGTAAGTGCTGCCATAGTGATCTTCATAATATTTAAATCGGATCAATCCACCCTTTTGCTTCATTACTTCCAGCGGTGCCCACTGGCCAACCAAACTCCTTTCCATGAAACACAGTCTCTACAGTGCGATCCCTGTGGTCTTCCACCACGCAGTCAGCAACGCTGACGTAGCAGCCACTGCGTGCCAGGCCCTGTGCCATGTCCGCCCTCATTCCTGCTGCTTCCTTACAAACAACGTGCTCTCTAATTATACTGAACTATTTGTTGTTTCCTTCTAGAAGGTAGGTCCTGCTACCATGAGTCAGCCTAGAACAGTTATCCTGTAAGATTCAACTCATGTCATTTCCCGTGCTAAGTCTTTAACAGTCCCTCACCCCACCCCAGATGCAAAGCTTGATATGTTTCTTCTTTGATTTCTCTTTTGTTTGTTAATCTGAAGATATTTTTTTCCATTGATTGTTTTTAGAGACAGTGGAAGGGAGGGAGGGAAGAGAAGAGAAGGAAAGAGAGAGAAAAACATCTATGTGAGAGAGACACTGCCTCCTGTATATGCCCTGACCGGGGCTGGGGACCAAACCTGCAGCACAATTACAATGCCCTTGACGTGGAGTTAAACCTGCAGCCTTCGTTCGTGGCATGGGCCAAAACGCTAATCACTGGGCCACCCAGCCAGGGCTCTTCTTTGATTTCTTAACACATTGCTGTGTAAGTATTTACTTAGATGACTACCTATACTGAACTAGTCCCCCACTAGTCAAAAGAGCAATGTGCTTTCACAATTATTATATTAAAATAATTATTTTACATTTTTTATTATTATAAATAATATTGAAAAATAGCTGTATACTATATCTCTCTTATGAACTTCAAAGAGGTTTAGGTAATTCTCCAAGATGCCAAAGACACAAGAAATAAACCGGGATGGCATCAGATCTCAAGGATGCCCAAGATTCACATTACATTCTGCCCTGCTGCTCTGATCTGAACGTTTCTGTCTGTCTAAAATTCCTATGTTGAAAACCTAAGGCCTGAGATGATGGTATTAGGAGGTGGGGCCTTTGGGGAGTGATTAGATCATGAGGGCAGAGCCCTGGTGAATGGGATTACTGCCTTTATAAAAGGGGCCCCAGAGAGCTCTCTCATTCCTTCCCTTTCTGTCATGTGAGAATACAACAAGAATTTGACAGTCTGCAACCTGGAAGAGGGCTGTCACCACAATGCAGCCATGCTGGCCTGGTGTCAGAGTTCTAGCTGCCAGAACTGTGAGGCAGAAATTTCTGTGCTTTACAAGCTACCCAGTCTCCGGCATTTTGTTATAGCAACCCGAACTGACGAAGACACATAGGCAAACTTTCTTGCTTCTATTCCTGGGACTTAATACTAGAGAGAGTAAGGATTGAGTGTCCCTTAAATATCTGTGGAATTAAGGAGTTCATTAAAGTAAAGTATTTCACCTCCTTAATTATAGGAAATATGTGAATAACTTCAAAGTAAAATGGAACTCATTAATAGTTCTTAGGTTGTGGCACTGATATCTATAAAAACTTGAAAATAAAATAAAAAATCCTTGATTTGCTGATGAAAAGCCAGAAGCTTAAAAACTTCTTGGTTATTGCTCCAATATTTTGCTATCACTTATTTTTCAGAGTCCCCTACCCCTCCCTTCCTATAGACCACAGAGAAAATTTGCTTTTATTTATCCCTCTGCTTACTGGAACCCTGGTAACAAAATAAGACTTGGTGGCAGCAAGGCTGCAATAATTTTCAATTAAAAATGAATATTTGCCCATGGTAAATGGACAAATCAAAATAAAAGACATCCAATTTAACATAGAAACAAAAACAGCCAAAGTTTACTTCAGACTGTCATTAGCACTTTCTAAGTAGCCAACAAATCTTATATGATAGAAAACTTAACCCAAGGAACCCAGAATCTGTAATAACCAGTAAACGTTTGACAGAAGTTTGACTTTTTGTAGTCAGGATGGGGAAGGAAGGAGAAAAATAAAGGCCTGGAAAAATTATTGTAATAATGTAAACACAGTGACCCAGTGGCCTAGGTCTTAGACCAGCAGAGTAATTACAAACACCATTTACATCTGGGTACAAGCCATGCAATTTACATGCATTTTTTTATTTGACACTCACAGATATTCTGCAAGGTTTCTCTTCTACACATAGATTCAGAGATGCTAGGTGACTTAAGGTCACACATTTGGCAAGTGGCAGATTGGGGGTA